CTGATCCTGTGGATGCAGATTGTGCAGACTCTGTTAATTTGGTAAACCCAAACGTGAAAAAATCTGATGATGCACTTCAGTCATCAGAAAGTAATTTAACCAACTACAAAATAGTAGAATCTGATGACATAAATGATAAGGGGACGAAAGGGGAGGTGTCTCAGGCCAGGCCTGAGCAAGATGGAGATGATCCTAAGGAGCAGCCAACATCTGAAAATAAGATGGAAAAGATTAAAGAGGAGGGAAGCCTTACCAAACAACCATCTCATGTTTGCCCAAATTTTGGGTCTGACTTGCTTGTAGACCATGCTTCTAGGCAACAATGCTACACTTCAGGGGCTCAGGTAATAACAGCGTTTATTTTCTTTTAAGAAACTAGGAATAGAACGTGTGAACCCTGTTGTGAAAAGATGAGAGTGTTCGCCTTGTAATTTTTAAGGTTTACTTTTTCACTCAACTACTTCCTTTTCAGGTTGCTCATCCACATGAACCTATTCAACTCGTAACATATAATGGTTCAGAGGTATAAAAAGTTTTATCTTAAATTCATCTTCCAAGTTTATTTCCAAAGAGCAGAGAGGCTGATAGACCATGCATATTTCAAATGAGATTTTTTTTTTTTCATTTCATTGGTCAGTTAAATTCATAGCCACTAAGAATCTATAATGAAAAATTGTTATCAGTAGCGGGCTTTATTTTGGTTGTGCTTCCTAATCACGATTTTAGGAACTTTCCTAATTACGAAGTTCTGATGAATCAAGTTCTAGTCCAATGGGCCTCTCCTGTTTAACAGGAATAAAGTTAAATTCACGGAGCTTGCCAATGTCTAACATTTGAGGAGTGATAACTATGGATGGGCATGCTAGAAAAGGCTGATAAGGGAAAATTGTGGTGATTCTTCTTGTGTTGTTGAAGTATACGTGGAAGAAAAACTTTTCTACAGATAATCTATCCCATTCAAGGTTTTGGATTTGCTGTGCTATTCTTCTCATGCGAGTCCATATGATGGCTTTTCTATGGATATCTTAATCTATTCTTGCATGATAAAAACATGCCCCCGATGCGCACTCTCATGGTTTATGTAATTTGGGTCATGCCACTTTAAATGCAAATCATTTGCGCACTTTCACATATCATCATGAAAATAGTAGCCCTCATTATTTCTTTTGTAATCAAAATTTAGTAGGATTTTCTTTCTTGAGTAGTGTAATTGCAATTTAAAATGTAGGCCAGTCAGCTCCAACGCGGCATGAGTAGACGCTGCCTTCAGTTTGAACAAGCTCAACAGGAAACTACAAAGGATGGTACCTATTCTCCAAATCCAGCAATCAATTTATTTGGTTCAATATCACCTGCTTCCAGTACAGAATTGGAGATTTTGGATTCATCTCAGGTGGAGCTAACTATCTCTTCCCTCAAGGAGCAAACTATGACTGCTATGTTTTCCGCAAATATAAGTGGAAAGTCTCCGGTAGCTGTTTCCAAGCCTTCAGGTATTGGCTTGCATCTCAATAGCATTGTCAACACTTTGCCAATGGGAAGCGGTGCATCAGGACCTATCATGAGTCACCATTTAGTGGAGAACAAAATTAGTTGCTCCAAACTATCAAATTTAGTTGAGAGAGTCTCATTAACTGCGGGAGATAGGGTGCTCCAAACTAAGGCTTCACTTGCTACAAGCTCTACCACTTCCGAGTCTTTTCACAACATGGAATCTTTCAATAACTTGCAGCCACCAGAACATCAGGTAACCCCACACAATAAGAGGAGATTTAGTTCAGAGCACGCTGGCAATTTTGAGGAGTTCAGCCCATCAAGCCCCAAGAAGAAAAGGCATGTTTATGTGATAATTTTCATCAATTTTTGTTCCCTCTCTCTCTATGCACGTGCGCGTGTAGTTTGTTCTCCAAACTAAGTTGCACCACTGAACTTCTTATGATCTCCAGGAAGAAAGCATCAAGCACTGATGGTGATGGTTGCAAACGTTGTAACTGTAGGAAGACTAAATGTTTGAAACTGTGAGTGATTTCAAGTTTTCTTGGTAGTCATATTCACATGTGTAATTTATTTATATTATTATTTCTTTTTAACTTTCTCCTATTTGGCCAGATACTGTGATTGTTTTGCAGCTGGAATCTACTGTGCTGCAATTTGTGCTTGCCAGGGGTGCTTTAACAGGCCTGAATATGAAGATACTGTTCTTGAAACACGACAACAAATTGAATCACGTAATCCACTTGCTTTCGCTCCGAGGATTGTACAGCATGTGACTGAGTTTCAAGCAATCGATGTGGTACCAAACCATCTTTTTTGGTTTTTTAGCAATTTCTTTTTGACTGGGAATTTGGTGATCATGTTCGCATTTTCACAGGAAGATGTAGACCTGTTTACACCATACTCAGGGAGGCATAAGACAGGATGCAATTGCAAAAGGTCAATGTGTGTGAAAAAGTATTGTGAATGCTATCAGGTGCAGTATTTTGTCAATACCTGAATTTGTCATCACCTTTGTCACAATTATCCATTTCTCAATATTTCTACCTTTTCTATCTTTTCATGTTTAAACTTTAAAAGGCTAATGTTGGATGCTCCAATGCTTGTCGATGTGAAGGGTGCAGAAATATCCACGGTAGGAAAGAAGGTGAGGAATTATGCAGAAACTAAATTTTGCCTCATTTCTTTGGCTGCCATCGTTTATCATAAACTATGATAGGATTTTGCCCAATTTGGAGTCTCTGTGGTTTGAATTCAAAAAATAGTTGAAAATTCAAGTCTCAGCCTTTGTAGATTCTCCTCCCAGCTCTTTAAGGGATTAAATCTAATGACAACATAACATCTGGAAAGTTATATAAATTCTTCATAATTTTGGCTAAAGATATTTTGTCACATAATGTTTGGATGCACCAAAAATAGAAGTGAACATCACCATTCTACTGGTGGAATGATGACTGATTTTTGTTTATATATTTACAGAATATGCCATGACTCCAGAAATAGTAAGCAACAGAGCTAATGAAGAAAGTTTAGAAGGCATGGCTGATGAGAAATTGGAAATGGTTGCAAACAATAAATTTTTACATGCTGAGCTATACGATCTGCGCAGCCTCACACCACCAACACCATCATTTGAGTACTTCAGGTACTATTTCTTTGATGAAGATGCATTTGTTCTGGAGAGGTTAGAATCTTTTAGTCCAGGTTGTTTTAATAGCTAACTGTTCCTTTTTTCTTAGCCATGAAAGGGATGCACTGAAATCCCAACTCCTTCCTGGTAGGTATGTCTTATCGTCTGAGTCTGATTTTTCTATGCTGCCATCTTATGCAAAATCCGTAAGTTCTCCAAGCAATTCACACGGCAACGACATGCTTCCAAAAACAAGTAAAACCCTGGACATAGTTTCCCATGGTCAGGAACTAGATTATAACATTACTGAAATAACGGGCCAATTCTCACCACAATGTGATGAACTTGCTGATTTCTCTGATCATACTCCACTGCCAAATCCTTCCTCAATCATGATGGCTTCTTCGGCTTCGTCTAAAACGCAGGATAAGGCAAATGTTTCACAACCTCAGGTGTATCCTGGAAGTGCTCGTCTCTCATCTGGCAGTTCTCTTCGTTGGCACAGTTCACCAATTACCCCAATGACTCGGTTAGGTGAGACAAAAAATCAATCACAGGACTCTGATTGTGGGCTTTATGACATTCTGGAAGATGACACACCCGAAATGTTAAAGGATTCTTCTGCCCCTATCACATCTGTTAAAACAAGCTCTCCTAATAAAAAGCGAGTTTCTCCGCCTCACAGTCACATTCGAGAGTTTCAATCGAGCTCTTCAGCAGGCTTGAAAAGTGGGCGCGGGCGCAAGTTCATTTTGAAATCTGTGCCTTCTTTCCCGCCCCTCACTCCTTGTCGCGATTCCAAAGATTGCACCCAACAGAAATACTAGAAATATAGACATTTTCCACTTTAGGTGAGTTTTATTCATGTTTCTTGCCATTAGCAAAAACGTTATTGATAAATATTCTTATCCTTGATTGACCAATGTGCTCCTTTGCATTGCAGTGGTGTTGGATATAATTCCTCCCAGGAAAGTACATATGCAGCTGTGGTCTGAGGCTTTGATTTTGCGCCAGGTTCGGATAAGGACCTCGTATGGTTCTCAATAGATACTTGATTGTCACAATCTTGCTTAAGTAGGTATTTCGAGTGACTCCATGTTCGGAATATACGTGACTCATGCTAGAGATGTGGCCAGGCATCATTATATGCAGTTATTTTTTGCACCGCTCCTTTTCCATCTCCAGTTCGTATCTCTCTGTTATGCAATTAGATGTGTCTATTATCGATTGAATTTCATTAATGGCTGGTGGATAGTACTAAAGGTTGCCCTTGTTGATCAGTGAAAAAACAAAATTTCCATTCTCTTAACCCTAAGTCGTATGAGTTCACAGTGATTTTCTAATGTCCAATCTTATCAAGTAATTTTGACTGCTTCCAGCTCTCTACGTGGTAAAAATCTTCACAGCTTCATTAGACGGTAGAATAATTTTTAACTTGGCCTTCGGTTTTGCTACAAAAACCGGATTATGGATGATCGATTGATTAACTTGCATGCTTGCACAGAGTTGCATCCATGCATAGCCCTGTCAGAGTTTTTATCTGTCCGTTTAAGTTGGATTCGTGAGCCTTTGTGCTCTATCAAGCTTGCCATGGCAATTTACTAAAGCCCAATGCATGGGGCTTGATGCAGGGCCAGTTGTTGTCAAGAGGTCAATTCCTGATTCTCTTTGACACCCAAAACTTAACAGTGAGCCTCTATTCCAAGCTGCCCTAGCTATGTCATGCTTGCCTCAGCCCATGTATATACATATATTTGGGCCTTGAGAGCTTGGGCTAGCTTCTAGCCATGCTTTGCTCCAAGACGGCTTTATGAAAACTGGAAAAACATTATTCGTCAGATTGTTTTGAATTGTTAGTCGTTTATTGAACATTTGATTAAGAAACTTTCTCTGGCCTTGACATTATAAATGCTTCTTGATATGATCGAAACAATACATCATGAAAGAGTGAGAAGCCAGCCCATAGCTAGCCCTTTGTACCTGAAATCCATCTAATGCTGGTAACCTCACAGATACATCATTCTCAGTCAAATAGCTCATAAAATTTCCTGGATTCAGAGAATGAAAGAATCATCCATGTCCCCCTTTCCAACTCTCTAGATGCAAAAGAGAAAAAAAAAAAACCCAATAATACTAAAAAAGCCCATGCTAGCCATCAGAATATGATAGGAAGCCCAAACAAAAAAGAAAATCAACTGAGAAAAGGAGTTTATTTAAGAAAATGACATCGAGGAATAATGAATTAAACCATGATCTATACCACAAACCCCACACCATGCATATATTCTGGAATGCCTTTCCTATCCATTATACATTCTTCTGTAACCCCGTGTGCCCTTGCTCCTTGACAGTTCTTTTTTAAGACCGTGGCCCGTCGAGACCTGACCTCGTGGTAAGCCAATTACAAACTTCATCCATCTCTTCAGGGATTGTGTAATGGCCAAGCCTGCATGGAAGTAGAACATTTATTGTTATTATTATTATTATTATTATTTGTGCCAGTAACAAAATGTTTATATAGTTGGATATGCTATAATGCCTAGTGGGAGATAGATATACCCATTATAGCTTCTAAATGTAAGATTTCGGAATCCAGCTGAACTTAATGCTTGTGCTGATTTCTCTCCATGTTGATGTGCAACCACATCATCACCTGCGACCAGAAAGTTAGATATGGACTTACTATAGCTCGGTAAACGCAGCTTACACCATTATGCTATAAAGGACCAATCAGCAGTTAAAAAGCCTAGACAAACAGCGAGTTCACTTCTCTGGAACTGCATACAATATTATCTTGTTTGTCCATTTCAAGTATTCTTAGAGTATAAGAAAATTTAGCTTCATGTAAATGGTATACTATGATTTATTGTTACAAATTGTTTGCAAGTCATACGCATTTCTGAAAACAAGCATATTTTCTTACAGTACATGCAAATATGACGTTCTACCAAAGTTATTAGAAATGCAGATAGCAAAATTTGTTCTTGTCTTTCCATCTGCTTCTCAATGAAGATATCCTTAATGAAAATGAATGCATTCAAACCCGTGGCCTGTGGGATGAAGGCCAATACCTGAGCCATGGCAGAGCAAGATGGGCAAGGATGCTGCACGTCTTGCAGCTTCATCTGATCTTTCCATCCGGTTCCTCAAGGTCCTGCAAGACAGGAAATAGTTTTCTGAATAGATTGCTTAACCAACACCTGTATTTCATCTTTTATCATGTGTCTAATCATGGTTAAGGTGTTTATGTCGGTTCACATGTCAGAACTCTGAAACCAAACCTTGAACATGGAAGCCAGCCACTTAGACCAACAACTACACTTAAGTTGATTGGGTACAGGTTTCCATTCCCATATTGCCCTAAAATGTGGCATGTGGCAGAGTAGAGAGCGGTTGCAGCTCCCATACTGAAGCCACCTACACCAAGTTTGACTGAAAAACAATGATAAAAACACTGGTTACTTACTGAACCACTTGAAGGTGCAGTATTCAACATTGACATGCTAAAATAAGTGCAATTAAGATGAAACAGGCATATCAATATGGACATCCATATTTCCGACCAATTTAAGAAAACATGCTTCCAACCTCTCATGCCTCGGTCGAAGTATTGTGGCCATACCTTATTATATTTGACTAGAAATACAACTAAATAAGTGGAGCGCATTTCAAAATGCATCTGACAGCCTTTTCCTGGTGATGCATGACAAATCCACATGCAAACAGGACCAACAAACCAAAAACTTTATGGATGCACGATGAAGTTTATTGCATGCTAAGAATATTTGCAGATTGAGTTATCACAATGATCATACAAGGAAAACAGTGAGGTCTTTTGCTCAAATCTCAAAGCACACTCAGATAACAAAATCGAAGACAACCCCCCACCCCAAAAAAAAACAACAGCAAACAAATGAATAAATAAATAGCTCAGTGGGTTTTAAATAGTTCATAGAAATGAGACTGTCAATGTAAGAAAGAATGGTAAGCTTCTTTGCTCTCCTTCGGACACGTAGACAGCCAAAGTACAGAGCAACAGTGGAAGAGCTTGCAGCATGTTCTCAAGTATACCCTTTAGTTCAAGCATTGTATTGGAGAAACACATTAATACCATTTTGATCTACTGAAGCCTCTCTAAGTTTACGACCATGAATTGCCCTCAAGTCCAGGACAGGCGGCTAAATGGCACTGAAAAGCTACTTACTATCAGCAGGCTCAGTCGATAAAAGATTTGCAACATGTGCTGCTGAAGCATCTAGCCCCTCCAAATCATCTGGGGCATCTTCGGAAATATCCCCAACATCAAACCCTGAAATGAGATACATAAGCTATTCAGACCATCTTCTCTACTGGCACTATAGCTAAAGACATGAATGAAGACTTTCATTTTGACAGGATACATAAAAACAGTTGCAGGTTAGTGTCATGCAAGGTTAGCTTATGACAAGTAATGGAGCTTGCAGCCATTTAAATTTTGTGAACTTGACGAAAAAAAATCCACAAAGTAGTTCTTACAAGCAGTGCATGGAAATCCACCAAATATTGCTACTGGCCTGGTTGGAGCAGTTGGGCATATCCATTTAATCTGCCACATCAAATTCAAACAGAACCATATGATTAAGTTACTTTCGTCTGCTAAAAATATATTTTTCTGAACATGGAAGGATTAAGGCATACAGTGATGCATGTTGCATATGTGCAAGTAGAAGCTGTGTAGCACTTATAATAATAATTATACTTACATTTGGAAGAGGAAGGGTTTCCAAGAGCTGGGACCAGCTGCAAAACAAAGCACAGAAGGGGGAAATTCATTCAGTCACCATAAGGTACTCTCCAAACTCCCTCGACAACACATCAAAATCCAATTGCAAAGGGGTCATTACAGCTATTCAAGAAGTTTGAAGGCATCTTATTATAACTTGGGAAACACCTTCCAACATCTGGGGACCACCCTCAAAGTTGAGCACTGGGCCTCAGCAATAATGGTAATAGTATAGTTCATATTATATGACATTATCAATCTCATACTTGATCTTCCCTAAACATATTCTAAAAAATGAACAATTAAACGATTAAAATTATTATATCATTAGTAATATAATTTCTCAGCCAATTGAAAGGACAAGCTAGTGCAGGAGCGGTCCCCTATTCTAAGCCTTGGCATATCCACATATGGCTTTGAGCTTAGATCAATGGAGGAGATGGAAGAAAAGGACAGTTAATCGTGTTTAAACAATTCATGCATAATTTCCCTCTCCAACAAATCAATCATGATAAGAATCTTGTGGAAAAGGACACAAAGTTCAAGAAGTTAAACAAATGCCAAAAATTCCAGCAGAACAGGACAAGTTATTGACATTCCATAACTCTCCCTCTCCCTCTCCCTCTCTCTCTGGTTTTGTAGGAGGAAAACAAGTCCATTCTCACATAGGGCATATGCTCAAGATAAAGAGAATAGAATTTCACCAGGTGTTGTTCATGAAGCAGGATCACACTTAGTGATAATGATAGATGCTATGAAAAAAACTGGTGGTCCTAATCCTGATAGCTGCCATTCCATGCAGATTCAAATAATCCACAATTCAGACAATAGACAATTAACTAAGTTGCTTCTGATAAGAAACAATCAACTTCCAATTGCATCAATAAACCAGCATGAAAAATGAGTTCTTCAGCTAAAAAAGTTTCATATGGAAACCAATAAGAGAAAGAAAAAATTAACAGCGATAAAAGCACCAGTTCACGGAATAAAGCTAGCATTATCACCTTGAGCCCTTATCACCAAGGCCATGCAGCCAAACTATAGTGGCCTGGTGCTTTCCTTTAGGCCTCACCACATGGGTCCTTCCAAACTCAAATGTTCTTGTAGTATTCCTACTGCCTGAAATGTTGAAATTGATGAATTCAAAAAATACCTAAAGCCCACACGACCCTCACACACACAGACCATAAACAAGAATGGCAACAAAGACTAACCAGATCCTACAGCGGAGGTATTGTAGCTCATTATATTCCACCAAACAAACTTAAACTGAGCAGGATTTTTTATGAATGTTCAAGTTGAGCTCTTGAGTTCCTGCAATGAATAAAATAAAAATTGACCACACCTCTATTTATAACCATATAAGAGGGTGAAGATGGAATATAACCCACTAATCCACATCAACACCTCTTACTTGCACCAGTTATACACTGCCTCAAAACTTCCACAAAGAAACTACCAGAAAGTGAAAGGCACCCCGGAAAAGAAGAAAAAGAAAGTGACAAGAAATATATATATATATATATATATATATATATATATATAAAGCAGCAGCCTTTCATGAACAACGAATCCACACAGATCAAATTGGCACATAGATGCAGAAAATGAGCTAACAAAGACTTCAAGGTAGCAATGCAAAGACATCAAGAATCTATTCTTTGTGGACAGTGCACAACTAAAGTGCTTCAACTATAGCAACCCAGGAATATATACAAACATAACCACAAATAGCAAATATTTCCCTTATTATTTCAAGAAAACAAAAGGAACCCGTCTTTTTCAATTTTTGAAGTGCCTAATGGATACCCATTAGCATGCAAATCTTGAAGTTGAAACCTTCAACTTAGTTTCACCGTGAGCTTGCTTGTTACATGTCTGTCTATGAAGATCTGAATTAAAAAAGAAATAAAGAAAAAACAATAATAATATTGAATATGGAAAAGTGGGGTTTAAGCTTTTCAATGGCACCAACCTGTGTTAAGAATAAAACCCTTAAAAGCATAAGGCCTTTTTCAAATTTCACTTTCCTCTTTCTCTCTTACAACCTTTGTTTTGTTTGCTTCGTTCACATTGACGGTGGAACCCCCACAGCACATATGCGTCCAAAATATCGATGGTCTTATGGTTTTCTTGCAACCACTATTTCTATGACCAAACTACCCCTCTAGCATATCTACACATCCATTCCACTACAATAATTTTTTGGGACAGTAATCCTCTAGATCAGGAAGTAAGCTTCTCAAGATGAAGATTTCATGTTTAAAACCTAGGTGCTAGTAAGAGATATTAATTAATTTAGCATATAAGCTATTTTATGCACAAAATATGGATTAAGGTATTAATTAATCGGTTTCATCAAACCTTCTAATTTAATATTAGATTAATTGGATCTAAATTTTAACATAATTTATGATCAAATCAATTTTTTAATAATACAATTAAACTTATATAAATCAACTGTTTTAAGAGCATGAAAATCTATTCATTAATAAATTCAAGTTTAAACAAAAATAATATTTAATCGAGATTATTACTTTATTAAGACTATACTTATATTTTTTAATTCATATATATATATATATATATGAAAGACAGGATATTCTACGTCAAAACAAAATCATGATAAACCACAGCCACCGGTAAATATCAAGATTGCATGATTGAATTATTTATGACTATACATAATTTTTTTTAGCGCCACCGTTTTTTCTACTTGTTAAAGTTGTATTTCGAATTGATTTATTAGGAAACAACATGCCCCGACAGTAACATTTAAGAACAATAATAAAATAAAATAAATAATACAGTTTAACTTATTAGGTTTTATATTTATTTTTTATAAATAATTAGTTTCATATTTATTTTTTATAAGTTATTAGTTTGATTTTTACAAATCTCAAGGTTATTAGAGGTTTACGTTATCGTTAATTTCAAAACTCGTAGAATTAGTCGAGATATGGGCAAATTAATCTAGAAATCTATGCTAATAAAAAAATAAAAATAAAAGTAATGTAAGAAGATAAAATTGACTTTAAAAACCATGTAAAACTCTTAAAATAAAAAAACTAATTAAACCCTATCATAAAATAAAATAATAGATATTTGAGTATGGTAAAGAAGCAGTGCACTCTAGTCTATTGTGTTTTTTAATCAGTTTTTATTTATAAAAAAAAAAAAGTTATATTTTGATTGAATTTTTAATAAATATTATAATTACACTGCTTATTAGAAACAATTGAGTTAAAACTTGTAATTTAGATAAATTTATATCAATTATTTTTTCATTGTAGAAAATTTGAAATAGTTCGCAGTATAATACTGGTCCTATATAGTTTATATCTAAAGTTTGAACTATTCATGAGTTTTTTTTTTTAATTTTTTCAATTTAAACTTTGAAATGAAA